AGTCGTGGAGCAGAGCAGCTGAAAGCCCTGCTCCCCATGGTGGCAAGATGGGGGGAGGGGACGGAGAGTGAAGAAGTAGATCTGAGACAACGAGATGGGGTGTGATCTTAACCAGATCAGAAAGATATGGAGGGGAGAGATGATGAATAGCCTTAAATGTGTACAAGAGTATTTTAAAATTGATACGATATTTGACCGGGAAACCATGAAGCTGCTGCAGAACAGGAGTAATGTGGTGGATAGAAGGGGTCCTGGTGATGATATGGGCAGCAGAGTTCTGGATGCGTTGAAGCTTGTGGATGGATTTTTGAGTAAGACCAAAAAGAAGTGAATTACAATAATCAATCCGGGAAGTAACAAGGCTATGGATAAGAATGGCAGTGGCATGTGGGGTGAGAAAAGGACGGAGACGATCAATGTTGCGCAATTGAAAATATGCAGACCGAGTAACATTATTAATGTGTGAATTGAAAGTACTGTCGAGGATGACACCCAAACTTTTCACAGAGGAAGAAACAAAGACCGGCGAGTTATTGATAGTGACAGAGAAACAGTTGGTTCTGGATAATGTTGATTTAGTGCCTACCAAGAGGAGCTTGGATTTATTACTATTGAGTTTGAGAAAATTATAAGAGAACCATGAATTTAGTTCGGCTAAGCAGAGGGTGAGGGAGGATGGGGGAAGAGCAGAATCAGGTTTAGTGGACAGATAAAGCTGGGTGTCATCGGCATAACAGTGAAACTGGATATTGTATTTAAGGAAAATGTGTCCAAGCGGTAGAAGGTAGATAATGCAAAGAAGGGGCCCCAGGACAGATCCCTGACGCACGCCAGTGGTCAGAGGAAAGGGCTGAGAAGTAAAGGATTTGAGTTGAATGAACTGGGTGCGATCAGATAGGTATGATTTAAACCAGTCTAGTGGAGTATGGGAGAGACCGATGGAGGCTAGCCTACTGAGAAGAATGGAGTGAAAAATAGTGTCGAAGGCAGCGCTCAGATCGAGGAGAATAAGAATGGAAAGTAAACTGGAGTCAGCTGCCATAAGAAGATCATTGGTTATTTTTATTAGTGCTGTTTCAGTGCTACGGGAGGGGCGAAGACCAGACTGATATATCAGAAAATAGATATATCACAAAAGATTATCATAATAATGACGGAAGACAGTGAATGTTTGTTCCTTTGGAAAACATGTTTTCTCATATGATAAAGGTTCTTTGTCTTTGTATATCCCATTGTTGCAGTCTTCACACTCTCCTATTCAAATGGATAAACAGTGACACTGCATTGTGTTCAGGCTTTGAACTGTGCTCATTTGAAGAAGGAGGAAATGGCAGGAATTGGTGACAGGTGCTTGCTCCAGCACTCTTTGGCGCTTCTTTCCAAGCTTCTCCATTACATTTGATCATTTCAATAAAAGTTTCCTTTTTCATTTCAAAAACGCTCTCTTTAAAATGTAATTATTGCGAAAGATGTAATTTATAGAGAATGCAAAACATTAAATAATAATACAGCATCAAGTCTATTGTGGCGAGCTCAGACAAGGAGCAGACAGAGGTATCGTTTGGCCTTGCTTCCCGCAGAGTCAGCCAGGGAGCACAGCCAGGTATTAGCATTCAACAGACGAACACACCACGCTAACACAACCGCTCGGCGCAGCTCTAGCGTAACAACAAAAAAAGGTGCTCTCTCCACCCAGAAACACACAGTCGCAGAGAGAGATGGCGCCGGTGAGGTCGGCTGCCGTCACGACTGCTCCGACCACTTTTTCTTTGTCTTTGTTTTTTAAGTTAGTTTTCAGCGTTTCTAAATCGGCAAAATCATCACCATTGGGTACATTAGGTATGACAGTGACACTCTTGTTTCTATTGGTATACAATGTACTCACAATTCGAAGTTTTTAACTCCGGATCCGAGCTGGCCGAGTGAAATCTCGAGGGAGAACAAAGGGAAGCGGCGGCGGCCTAGAGGGAAGCGAGCCGGTGTCAGGAACAGGCTGAGAGCTCGTGCACACCGCACACCTCTGCCTAGCATCCTGCTCGCCAACGTCCAGTCACTGGAGAACAAGCTTGACGACCTCAGGGCCAGGGTAGAGTTCCAGAGAGACATTCGGGACTGCAATCTCCTCTGCTTCACCGAGACATGGCTGAACCCAGCGGTGCCGGACCACGCCATCCAGCCGGCCGAGTTCTTCTCGGTTCACCGCATGGACAGGACACGGGACTCGGGGAAGTCAAGGGGAGGCGGCGTGTGTTTAATGGTGAACAACAACTGGTGCAACAGTGCGAACGTTGTTCCTCTCACACGCTCCTGCACACCAAATCTGGAACTACTGTCCATCATGTGTCGTCCTTTTCATCTACCTCGGGAATTTACATCGGTCATTGTAAGTGCCGTTTATATTCCACCACAAGCGGACACGGTCACCGCCTTATGCGAGCTGCATGAGGCACTCACACAGCACCAGACACAACACCGGGACGCTGCGCTTATTGTGACGGGGGACTTTAATAGCGCCAACCTCAAACGCGCAGCGCCGAACTTTTATCAACACATCACCTGCCCCACCAGGGGTGAAAGGACACTGGACCACTGCTACACTACGGTCAAGGACGGCTACAAGGCACAATCCCGCCCCCCGTTTGGCAAATCTGATCACGCCGCCATCTTCCTCATGCCAAAATACAAACAAAGGCTGAAACAGGAAGTTCCGGTTCAGAGGAAGGTCGCGCGCTGGACGGATCAATCGGTGGCCGCGTTACAGGACGCACTCGATGACGCAGACTGGGGCATGTTCAGAAACAGCTCCGACGATGACGTCAACGTGTTTACGGAAGCGGTTGTGGGATTCATCGGGAAACTAGCGGATGATACCGTGGAGACAAAGACTATCACAACGTTTCCCAACCAGAAGCCGTGGGTGGATAAAACCATCCGCGACGCTCTGAGATCCCGCACCGCTGCCTACAACACGGGACTCATGACGGGGGACATGGACCCGTACAAAGCCGCGTCATATAACGTGCGGAGGGCGGTGAAAGAGGCGAAGCAGCGCTACGGGAGGAAACTAGAGTCACAACTCCAACAGAGTGACTCTAGGAGCCTGTGGCGGGGACTAAGGACAATAACGGACTATAAAGCACCAACAACCGGTATGACGAACGCGGCCGTGACTCTGGCAGACGAGCTGAACACTTTCTATGCTCGCTTCGAGGCTGCAGCTAAGGTCTCCAACAATGCTAGTGTTAGCGGCGCTAACGGCTGCAGACAGGAAGATACTGCCAGCACCGGAAACGTGCTCGTCATCTCCGAGCATGAAGTAAGGAGAGCCTTCAAGAGAGTGAACACCAGGAAAGCAGAAGGACCAGACGGCATCCCAGGTCGTATCCTCAGAGACTGCGCATACCAGCTAGCTCCTGTGTTCACTGAGATATTCAACATCTCTTTATCTCAGTCGGTGATCCCCACATGCTTCAAAGAGTCCATCATTGTTCCTGTCCCGAAGAAACCCCACCCTGCTTCTCTCAATGACTATCGCCCTGTAGCCCTCACCTCAGTAGTGATGAAGTGCTTTGAACGCCTGGTCAGAGACTTCATCATTTCTTCACTACCAGACACACTGGACCCACTACAGTTCGCTTACCGTCCAAATCGTTCCACAGACGATGCCATCTCTCATCTCCTCCACACATCACTCACTCACTTGGACACTAGAAGGGGGAATTATGTTAAAATGCTCTTCATAGACTACAGCTCTGCATTTAACACCATAATTCCCTCCACACTCACCACCAAGCTGGAGCATCTGGGACTCAGCTCATCTATGTGTCAGTGGATCTCCAACTTCCTAACTGGCAGACCACAGGCAGTAAGGATGGGCGGACATGTCTCAGCCTCCACCACTCTCAGCACTGGAGCCCCCCAGGGGTGTGTTCTGAGCCCCCTGCTGTACTCTCTGTACACATATGACTGTGTGGCCACTACCAGCTCCACCACCATCATCAAGTTTGCTGACGACACCGTCGTGGTGGGCCTGATCTCTGATAACAACGAGACGGCCTACCTGAAGGAGATTAGGAATCTGGAGAACTGGTGCCAGAGGAACAACCTCCTTCTAAACGTCAGTAAGACAAAGGAGCTGATAGTGGACTTCAGCACTAAGCAGGAGAGGAACTACCAGACCCCCGTCATCAACGAGTGCCCAGTGGAGAGAGTGGACAGCTTCAAATACCTCGGAGTTCACATCACGCAGGACCTGTCATGGTCCTGTCACATCAACACCGTGGTGAAAAAGGCCCGACAGCGTCTCTACCACCTCAGACGCTTGAGAGACTTCCAACTGCCCTCCAAGGTGCTTAGGAACTTTTACTCGTGCACCATAGAGAGCATCCTGGCGGGAAACATCTTAACCTGGTTCGGGAACAGCACCATGCAGGACAGACGAGCTCTACAGAGGGTTGTGCGGTCAGCTGAGCGCACCATCCGCTCCGAGCTCCCTGACCTGCACTCAATCTACAGCAGGCGGTGCTGGACCAAGGCCAGGAAGATCATGAAGGACCTCAGCCATCCCAACAACAGACTGTTCTCTCTGTTGAGGTCAGGAAAGCGATTCCGCTCCCTGAAGACCAACACAGAGAGACTGAGGAGGAGCTTCTTCCCGCAGGCGATACGGTCTCTCAATCACACCACCACACAGTACTGACCCACACATATGGTTCTTACACACACACTGGACATTCTGGACTTTGGTTTTGCACAACACTGGTCACTATATTCTTCATTTCCGGTTAATACTTGTACAGCTGCTGTTATTGTGTATATATTTATTTATATTTAGATTTCTTCATACATTCTTATATAGTTCTATATTGTGTATTTTGTTGTACAGTTATTTTATTTTCAACTTTAATTTATATATTTATCTTTATCTTATTCTTCCCAGTTAAATTTACCCTTCATTCTAATTTGTGTTGTACAGTTATTTCATTTTTAACCTTAACCCGTTTTGCCCCACTGGCAACAATTGTTGCCAAAGTTTATCACTGTCATTTTCGACTCACAATAAAAAATCTCAAAGGTACTAATGCAACTTTTTCCACTTATATGCTAGTAGACAACTTAGACAAAGGTTTTGATTTTTAAAAAATCGTTTCCAAGTGCTTCCTATCGCATGACATCATCTGCTTCCCGCTCTTTCTGGCTGAAGACATGGCGGATGCAAATCATCCTGGAAAGAGGTAATTTTCATAAATTTCTTATGACTTTCCCCCCAAACATATTTATAATTATTTAATCATTCAAGTCTCTAGAGTAACCCTCCCCAAAAAAATTGTACCTAGGATAAATATTTTTTTGTTCATGGGCTTATTTCTGTGAGTGGCAACAAAAGTTGCCAGTGGGCACATAGCATGTCGCTAACTAAAGGAAAACACTGTCTGCAGGATTGCTCCTAATTTACTTATTTAAAATTGTAGAATGATGTACAATGGCTCATTTTAGTCCTTTTAGAATAATTCCTAGCTAAATAAATTCACAGGTATTCAAGGCCTCTGTGTATAGGATTTTTATACATTACCATACATCATTTTCTTGCTAGCTAAAATTCGCTTGCTAGCTAACATGTATGTTGTCCTTTCCTTAGGTACACCGTAGCAGAGATCCTGGCCATGCTGCAGGACTCTGAAACTGTGGCGGACATCACAGTTGTGCCTGAGTCAGAAATGCACGCACATGACACAGACTGTGACAGTGACCAATCTGATGATGAGGCCACTGGTGACCATAACCGCCTCCCATCAAGAATACTCAAAGGTGAAGGCTTTCTACCTAATTCGGACATGCAGCTGCCAAATCCCCCCGATGATGATCCTGGGTGCTCATCCTCAGTGAGTCAGACAGAGACTAGAAAGGTCAGTGGCACAAATGAAAATGTGACCAGTCAGATTGCTGGGCCCATGCTCCACAAAACTAAGAACCAAGACAGGAAATTCAAAAAAATCAAAATTGCGGCCAAAGCTGGCCTTGGCCTTGGCCTTGGCCTGGCAGAGAAAGCTGAAGTGCCACCTGGAGTCAAGTTTTACCACGACAACCTCTTCACAACCCTGTCCCTGGTGGATGAGATGACCCTGAGAGGCTATGGCAGCTGTGGCACGATGCGACAAACTCAGCTCCATAACGTTCCCTTCACAGCACCCCAGACCTTCAAGAAGACACCCAGAGGAGATGCTGAGTATCTGGTTGAGGCAGAGAAGCTGATTGTAAGGTGGAATGACAACAGCGTGGTCACCGTGGTGTCGAACATGGAGAGGGAGTTCACCGAAACTGAGGCGAAGAGATGGAATAAACAGAAGCGGACTATGGACAAGGTCAGACAGCCCAAGTGTATCCAGGACTACAACACACACATGGGAGGAGTGGACCTGCATGACCAGTTTGTCAGCCGCTACAGAGTCAACATCCGGTCCAAGAAGTGGTGGTGGCCATGCTTCAGCTGGGCCCTGAACAGTGCCATGGTGAACAGCTGGTGCTATTACAGGTACACAAGGCTGTATGTTATTTAGTGATATCACAATCGAGTTGGTGATGTTTGACTCGAGGTCATCGCTAGTGCTCTTCGGTCGACAAGAGCAACAGTGATGATATCCAGACCAACATCACAAACTCAAGTGTGATATTGCTTTTACAGAACATTCTACATATGGGGCATGACGTTGTAGAAAGGATGAAACGATGCACATTCATGCATCTATCATGCTTGTTTTGTCATTCATTTAGGTCCTGGAAAAGCGGGGAGAAGGATCTCCTCTCCTTCCAGAGGCTGGTAGCCCAGACCCTCCTCCTGCGCCATGGAACAAAGCCAAGTAGGCAGGGCAGAAGATCTTCAATGGCGGTGGCGATAACTGATGCCACCAGGTTTGATAATTTGAACCACTGGCCCTGCAACACTGGTAGCAGGTACAAGCGATGCAAGAACTGCGGCGGACGCACATCATTTGCGTGTGGAAAGTGTGATGTGCCACTACATGTGGAGTGCTTCAAGAAGTACCACACTGAGTAGAACATGCATGAAAGATGATGGAATGTATGGGAAGAAATATGTTATATATGTATATATGTTTTTAGAGGTTCTAAGAAAAAAATGTTTGTTGAGTTTTTGAGTATAAAAAAATTGAGAATAAAGAAATCAGTTCAAATTGTTTGATGTTTTGAATTTTATACTGGGGGAACCTGAGGCTCCACCTTTTTGTTATTATTTATTATGACTATATTATTATTTTGTTCTTATTATATTATTATTATTACTTCTCTATTATTATTATTAGGTGACATTTGACCTAGTGACAAGCTGTGTGACTACTGGCAACAATTGTTGCCAGTCATAAAAATGCTATTTTCTTCAAAAAAAAAGTACAAAATGGAAAAAATAAATACATAACATGATTCAGAGGGACTCAACTGATAAAATGATATGCCTTACAACTCTGAAAAAAATCTGGGCACAAACGGGTTAATTTATATTTTATTCCTTCCTAGTTAAATTTACCCTTTTTAATTTTTCATATTTATTTCCTATCTTATTCATAGCCTTTTCCTTTTTTGTTTTCTTTAGGTCACGAGCAGTTGTCCAAGCATTTCACTACATATCGTACTGTGTATGACTGTGTACGTGACAAATAAAATTTGAATTTGAATTTGAATTTGAGAGAGAGAGCGTCACCTGTAACCATGGCAACATAACGCTGCCACCTGGAACAACAGAACATAGCTGTCAAAACAAAACCCCAAACAGCCCTGACCCGCTACATAGCCCCCACCTAAGGGGTCAGTCATCTGACAATCCCATTACCCAACACAAAGTCCTGCAAATGTCTTTCGGTGCACAGACCGTTCTCGACCGGCGGGGTAAGACTCACTCGGATCAGAACATGGGGTGCCACCAGCATCCCCTGCCCCAGCGGGTGCTGGAGCGAGCGGTCGGTACGGTGAGAGTTTGTCCTGGTGCAACATCACCATGTGCCCCAGGCCTGGCATGCGGACCCGGTACACCACTTCTATTAGCCGCTCCACAACCTCCGCCGGCCCTTGCCAGTGACTGCAGAGCTTGGGGGGACACTCCTCCCTTGTGAACCGGGCAGTACACCCAAACCTTGTCACCAGGCACAAAAGCTCCCCCTCGGCACCTGGTGTTGCAGGCTCCTTTCAGTCGAACTCTGGTGCTGGCCTGGGCCTGGCGGGTGTAGTCATGAGCCACCCGCGGTCACTCCCTCCACCTCCTGTAGCAGTCCATGGCCTCCAACACGTGCCAGTTCCCTGCCTCTGTGACGGGGAAAAGCTCTAGGACGTCTACTCCACAAGGGAGAGAGGGCGTTTGCTGTGGCTGCACCCAGACTGTGGAACAGTTTACCTCCTCACGTCAGACTCTCCAAAAGCCTAGAAACTTTTAAAACCGCTCTTAAAACTCACCTCTTTTCATTGGCTTTTAGAAAGGTTTAATTTATTTGTTTTATATATTTTTATTTTATTTTTATCAGCGAGGTGTTATTACGAAATTGTGTTCTATTGTATTTTTATCTGTATTTACTGTACAGCACTTTGGTCAGCCTTGGTTGTTTTTAAATGTGCTCTATAAATAAACTTGACTTGACTTGACTTGACTCCCACTCTCTCCATCGGGGCCCCCACCCGATGCTGCTGCAGGGGGGCAGTGGAGCGTTGAGTGGGGCCCTCCGTGCCGTGCATGTGTCACCGCAGTGCACATGAAGTTCCACATCTCGTCAACAACCAGGCCAGTAGAACCGTCCCCTGAGACAGCGGAGAGTTTTGGCATTCCCATAGCGGCTGACCGCCACCGAGCCGTGGACAAGAATAGAATAGAATAGAATAGAATAGCCTTTATTGTCATTGTACAGAGTACAACGAAATTGGAGTGCCACTCCCTTGGTGCAAGTTTCAATAATAAATATAAATGTAAAATATAAAAGGTACAAAAAAAACAATCGTAAGTACTCAAACAATAGTATGTACAATATATACAGGATAGCAGCATTAATATAATATAAGCTTAAGTACCTGCGACCGAGGCACCAACAGCTGCAGGAGACCCTTGCCCTGACCGGGGGCCTGCCATCTCCGGTATAGGAGGCCGTCGTGAGTTTTCAGATTGTTGTACTGGGAGTAGTAGGCCTTCACTTCAGGCCCCTGTCCTGACACCCTTGTCCAGCCTGGGCGTCGTGCCGCCTCCCACATGTCAGTTCTCTCCTCCTTCACTGTCATCAGCTGGGTGTCGGTGGGCGACCAACCCATCAGTGGCCCGGACGTTCCAGGGAGCACACCAGGTCGTATTAGGGAAATGGTAGACCACGTGTTCACCAGGGCCCGGCAGGGCTGGTCCTCAAATCAGCAGCTCAGGTAGAGTCCCTTGAGGTGCCCAGCTAGGCCCACCACCATGCATTGTTCTTGGAGGGGGGCAGGAAGCTGGAGCGGTGGTCCTCTTGCTACACTGCTCCCCCTCTCGTTTCCCTGAGGCCACATAGTTCTGGTCTTTGGGGCGGGCGCCAGGCAGTCGCGCGGCACTTGGCCAGGCTCATCGCACCAGTAGCAGTAGTCAGTCGATGGGGACGCCTCCAGCGCTGCTGCTGGTTAGGTCGCGAGGCGAGCACCAGCTCGACCCTTTCGGCCTCAAGGAGCGCCTCATGAAGAGTTCGAGGCATGGCCAGCCGGATGTGTTGGCGCAGCCGCTCTGGAAAGAGTCCTCGCAGAAAAGCATGCAGGCTAAGCTCCTCACAGGCTGCTGCTGGGAACTCCGGGTAGCCACGACGAGCATATAGCAACACATCAGCTGCAAAGGTTCCCAGGCTCTCCCCTGCCCGACGGCTCCAGTTGGTCAGCTGCTCCCTGCTCTGATCAGTGGAGTGCCACTGCCCAAATTGCCTCTCTAGTGCCATGGTGAGGGCCTGGAGCTCATGCTGCTCTGCCGGGGATAGGTCAAGCAGTACCTGCAGTGCATCTCATTCAAATGCTAGCGCTAGGTGCGTAGCGGCCTCTTCGTCGCTCCAGCCACTATGCCTCGCTGCTAGCCGTACTTGTGAGAGGTAGGGCTCTAGCGGGGTTAGTCCGTTGTATTTCGGTACCTTAGCTGGCGTTGTAGGCATCACTGCTCGCTGTCGGGGGCTCGACGTATCGGTCGCCAGAGGCAGCCCACGAAGCATTGTCCTAGTGTCTGTCACAATGGGCCGCTGCTCCTCGACGGCTTGCTCCAGCCTCTGTATATCTCTCTCTGTTCCAGCGAGGGTGAGCTATCCTGTCACAGCGCGGTACGCTGGTATGTTAGTTAGAGCAGGGCCCAAGAGCAGACATAGGCAAAGAGACGTGACATGACTTAACAAAATGCAAGCCTTTATTATGGCTGATAACAGAAGGCAAAACAAAAGCTGAGACGAGTGCAGGCAAGACAACCAAACTGGAAAACAGACTAAGAAAAACCTATGAAACTGTGATAAAGCTATGAAACTTCGAGAACTAATTCTATGACTGTGACTATGAGAACTGTGACGACTATGACGAGACACAACTGAGAAGGTTACACAGACGACGCGACACAGACTGAATGAAACACAGAGACTAAATACACATAAGGGATGATCAAGGGAAGTGGCACATGGGAGCACAGCTGACACACATTAACCTAATGACAGGACAGGGGAAGTGAAACTAAATGCAATGAACAAAGAACAGAGGACTCTTTCAAAATAAAACAGGAAACATGATGAGACAGACCAAACAACATGGGCTTGACAACATGAGACGTGGAACACAAAGGGCAAATGAGACTAAGATCCAGGGGAAGAGGAAATGAGGAGATCCAATAAACAGAACTAAGGCAACTTAGGGCTTTAAGAGAGCTAGATGAGCTTAACCCAAACAATAAATGACAAAACCCAAAGACTCAAGTTCTAACTAATACTGCAAAAACAAGAACTTAACATTTCCCCATACTAAAAACAGAAATACACAATATACAATGAACTTAAAATGCTGGAGCACAGACCCAGCCATGACACTATCCCACTTCTGACACCAATGTGGCGAGCTCAGACAAGGAGCAGACAGAGGTATCGTTTGGTCTTGCTTCCCGCAGAGTCAGCCAGGGAGCATAGCCGTTTATTAACATTCAACAGACGAACACACCACGCTAACACAACCGCTTGGCGCAGCTCTAGCGTAACAACAAAAAAAGGTGCTCTCTCCACCCAGAAACACACAGTCGCAGAGAGAGAGAGAGAGCGCGTCACCTGTAACCATGGCAACATAACGCTGCCACCTGGAACAACAGAACATAGCTGTCAAAACAAAACCCCAAACAGCCCTGACCCGCTACACTATGATCCATTCTGAGAAACAAAGACACCTATCTTTTTCTATCAAGTGAGACTATGAGCTGTTTTTGTGGCTCAAAATTCACTAAAGTAATATGTGGGAAATCATCATTACACAAAGGAGCAAACTTTGCTGAGAGTGGATAAGTTGTAATTAGTTAGAGAACCCTGGAAGTCATGAAGGTGGTGAATTGTTTTGGAATCAAAATGGTCAAATAAACATCTAATTAAAGTTTCAACTTCACAAACACTTGCCAAGTGTTTAAGGGTGCTTATTTAATGGCATAGCACTTTTCTTGTCTTTTTAACCACTCAGAGCACTTTGGATTACAAACTACATATAGCCAAGTTTTGTTTTTGGAGACATGCATTGTAAACGTATCAGTCTTTAAAGGACTTTGGGTCAGCTTCTGTTGTTTAAATGTGCTCAGGTTATAAAAAAAATGGACGCGACAGTCAACAAGATTCAGACATTTTTCATGTTGCATGTTTGAGGTATTTTTCTTTCCCACTAACAACACATGCAACACAGTTCAGTGGGCTACATATTACACTTAGAGGATAGAAACAAAGTATCAATCCTATCACACTAATATCACTCAAACATAAAGAATACCAGCATTGGTATCAATACTACTGATATTTGGCTGCATCCCCCCCACCCGCCACTGCTGACCACTGCACCAACATGCTGCCAATATCTGCGTTTAATGTGGAAAGTAGTAATAATAATATCATCAACATCAAATAT